TAAGTGAACTGTACTCCTTTCTGACTCTAGACCTCAGCATCCCTTTCAGCAGAGGAAAAGGGCAAGAAGACCAAGAAGAAAACGAGGCGGCGCAGAGCCAAGGGGGAAGGAAAGAGGCGGTCTGAGGACGAGTGCTTCCGCTGTGGTGACGGTGGCCAACTGGTGCTGTGTGACCGCAAGCTGTGCACCAAGGCCTATCACCTGGGCTGCTTGGGCCTGGGCAAGCGGCCCTTCGGTAGGTGCCCATCCAGGGATGCTGCTCTCACTGGACCTCTTCTCTGCTGAATGGACCTTGTCTGTCCAGTAATTGGTTGGTCATTTGGGTGGTGACTGTCTCGGTCCAGAGGTCCTGCCAGAGCCCCACAGGGAAGTCCTGGAGCCCAACTGGGAGTGGTGCCCTCCCTCGTGTGTGCCAAGAGTCCACTGCAGCAGCCTCAGCTCCTCTGGCCTCCTGAGTTGTATGGCATCCTTGGCCTGGCTGCACCACACCTTAGTCCCTGCCAGGATGTGCGGGGACACTCCCCAGTGACCTGGTGCATCAGGAGGAGCTGCTGGGAGTGCATGGACCACATGGTCATTTGGAGGAAGATGAAGTGGGCCTGTCTCCTGCGACCCCTGCTATTTCAGAGCAAGTGCCAGCATCAGGGTGAAACTGCTGTGTTTCAGAAGAGATTAAGAGACCCTCTTGTACCTGAGGGACAAAGATAGAGAGAAATATTTGCAGTGGATGTGATAGCTACCCTTAACCTAAAGTCCTTTTCAGTTTAATGCCAGAAAGGCCAGTGTCCGGGCAGAAGATGCTCTTTGAACAGGCAGCTGCAGAGCAGGGAGGGCGCAGGGTGGGAGACCAGGCAGGGCTCACCGCAGGGAGCCGCCTCCTGGTCCACGCGTGGCCCCCATGCTCCAGGCCCTGGTACGCGTAGTAGCAGCCTTTCTTTGTCAGTTGGACAAAAACAGTGTCCTGTGCTAACTTGCATGCATTTGACTGGACAGTTTTGTTTTTAATATTTTAAGTTTTTGGTGGACCTTTGTTTTATTCGTTTACTTATATGTGGTGCTGAGAATACAACCCAGTGCCTCACACATGTGAGACAAGTGCTTCTCCCACTGAGCCCCAGCCCCTTGACTGGACAGCTTTAGAAATCCTTTCAGCCTGGATTTGAATGGTACACACCTGTGATCCCCACTACTTGAGAGGCGGAGGCGGGAGCTCCCAATTGATTGCGAGTTTGAGGCCATCACGGGCAACTTATTTCTCTTGTAAGAAAAGTAAGGTGGCTCAGTGGTGGAGCACATGCTTGAGCCTCTGGGCTCAGACCCACGCACGTGAGCCCTGAAGACCTGGTTGCGGCTGTCCCTCCTGTTGCTGACGCTGTGCTTTGTTGCAGGGAAGTGGGAGTGCCCCTGGCATCACTGTGACGTGTGTGGCAAGCCTTCTACCTCGTTCTGCCACTTCTGCCCCAATTCTTTCTGTAAGGAGCACCAGGACGGGACAGCCTTCCGCTCCACCCCGGATGGGCGGCCCTACTGCTGTGAGCATGACTTGGGGGCAGAGTCGGGCAGGAGTGCTGAGACTGAGAAACACTTTCCAGAGCCCACCAAGTCCAAGGGGAAGAGGAGGAAAAGGAGGTGTTGGCGGAGGGTCACGGAAGGCAAATAGCGCCAGGTGGCGGCATGGTCTAATCCAGGGGTGGCGTGGGGCAGCCACCCTGCCTGCAGGGAGGGCAAGCATGGCAGCGCCCTGGGACCCAGCTGGCAGCCTCCGCGACAGACGTCCAGGCCTCCTAGGGAGGGAGCGCCTCCCCACTGAGCCACCCGCAGCTGTGCTGTCTGCACTGACAACCTCCCAGCCATGAGCTGGACAGTCGGACAAGCCAGCCTGGCCCAGAGCGCCAGGCCACTGAGGCCCTGCGGACGTCCATGCTCCCTCCCAGGCTCTGTTAGGCTGAAGTTGCTATTGAAGATTAATGGGTGTGTGAAATGTCTTTATCTCACCAGAAGCGTGTAGAGTAGTGTTTTCTGCAGGGTCCCTGCTCCGCCCCACGCCGCTCGGCTTCTGCACAGTGCTGCCACCACTCAGGAGACGGGACTCAGGCCCTGGTTCCCACAGACCATGGTTCTGATCATTTTGCTCTTTGGAAACAGCTTTTTTTTTTTTTGTACTAATGTGAATTTTTCCTTGGAATGCTTCCTTCCTTCCCATCCTGGTGACAGGCTGGCCCCCTGGAGCGTGGAAGTGGTGGTGTGTTGCAAGCTCTCCTGCCATCGTCTCTCTGTGGGTTTGAACCCAGTGCTGGTAACATACCTGCCGTGGATGTGCGGGTCACGAGGAGTGGCCTGTGTTCATAGTGGGCCACTTCTCCTTTGGGTCTTTCTGAACACACTAGGTTCTAACCCACATTTGAGGGGAAAACTTTGTATATTTTTTTTCATTTTTCTTTTTCTTTTTTAATCTGGCTTTTATTCTCAATGTATTCTTGCTAAACCTGTTTCACAAACCACCACCAAATGAAACGTGTGCTCACTGATGCGACCCTGAGTTCTCTTTCAGAGGCAGTGCACTCAGGGCATGTGCCAGACTGCTGAGGGCATGGGGCTGCAGCAGGACTCCGTGGCTGGAGTGAGCCTTCCCTTTACTCTGTGGGCTCACTAGCCACGCTCCTCTTGCACGCTCTCCAAGGGCACCACAAGCAGCAGCACATGGTCTCCGGTGGTCAGGCCTGGAGATAAAATTGGCTCTTAATTATTGAAAGACCCACAGAGAGAGCTGAGGAGTACTAAGTTGTCTCTGGAAGACCTGGTCCTTCCTTCCTGGGGGTGCCTCTTGTTTGTCCCGGGGAGCATGGAGCACCATGAGAAAGGGGGAACCTGCAGGCATCCTGCAGGAGGGGGCGTGCACGGGTGGCAGGTACTGCTTTCTGCAGAGGTCTTGCCTGCGGCTGTCCTGCCCTGTGGACCCAGGACTGGCTGCACTCGGGCACCAGGTGTATGGGCCTGTTGGCCCAGCACCGCCCAGTGGGAGGAAGTTTGCTGACCCGCAGCCATCCCTTTGCTTTTCTCCAATCACGGTCCCCAAAAGTAACCTTATCAAGGACCAAAAGAACAAGCAGCTCTGCAATGGGCTGTGGCTCCCACATGAGCAGGTCCACCAGCTAGGCCTTGGGAGGTTCTACTTAGGGCCTAACTCCAATCAAACTGTCCTCAGAAAATGCTGGATTTGGTTCACAGATTTTCTGCTCCTTATGCCTTGAATTCAGAAGGCTATTCGGTGACAGGCCAGGTAGCATCCCCATATGCACACGGCCCCAGCCTTTGGAGCACAAGGCCCCAGGCTCCTCAGATGGGTGCCTACCAGTGTTGTCACTTGTCCAAAAGATACCTTCCTACCAGCCGAGCGAACATGAGAAGTGGTTTTGCAATGCACTTTGGGGAACAGATTAACTTATTTTTATATTGGCAGTTAGTAAAGTTTTATGATTTTTAAGTCACTTTGATATCTCCAAATTAAACTCAAGCTTCCTAAAGGAAATGCTGCAAAAATGTTAAATGATTCCCCTTTTCAAAAACAATGAGCAAATAACACTAACTTTGAGAATCTCTATTAGATCAGTTCATAAATCTGAGTAAAACAGGGCCTTGGGATAGTGGCCAGGCATGCAGCCATGACTGGTGCTCCAACCTGCCCAAGTTCGTTCTGAGTCTGGGGGAGGATTTGCTTTTGAGGATTTGATGGCTTCCCAGACATCAGCTTCAGTTCTTTCTTGTTAATGTGAAGTACAACATGGAAATCAGCCGGATGCCCCAGCATTCTTGGCATCAGGAGTCAGCCTCGACCTGCCCTGTGCACACCCCCATGCATAGGCAGCTCACATGTGCAAATCTGGTGCCTGCCCATGCCAGCACTGGCCTGTGAGGACAGGGGTGCCCCACCATTGTGTGGCTTGTGGGGAAGTGTGTCTTGCATGAAAGTAGTGAGGATCCAGCTGTCCATCCTTGGGGACAGCCCTCCTTTCCCCAGTGATGCCTCCCGGGCCTCCCTGGGTCCTGGGGCGCACACAGGTTGGTGCTCTTGAGGCCTCTGAGATGTTTTATCATGACACCTGAGCCATGATGTGCCCGTATTTTAGAACCACCTTATTTTCAAGGATTCAAGAAACGTGTCGTCTTAATTAAAGTACACAAACAGTTGTCAGTTGCAAGTGTTTTCATCTGTGAGAGGTGTAGCTGGTGACTTGGTGGAGTAGAGCGCTGTCTGTTGGCGTCATGGTGCCACTGTGGCCTGTCGAGCCGTGAGATGCCGCGTCAGAATGAACCAACCCTCAGTGAAGTGTGCCTGTCGGTGTCTGAGCTTCACGCAGGTGCAGGTTCCTTCTAGGAACACTGGGTGCTATCACCAGGTTTGATAGTTAGACTTTAAAACTTGAAATTTTGGGGGGAATATACTGAAATATAGATCTGAGAATTGCCAGTTGGGGAAAAATAGCATTTAAAGTGGAAAGTTGTGTTTGGAAAATTGTGTATGAGTATTTTTGTATTAAAAAAATTTCAAAGGCCCTCTCCTCACTTATTTGCTGTGGCACTGTGTTGACTTTCCATCTCCCGCTGCTCTGGGTTCCCAGTCCCGCCCAGGGAGGCTCCTACCTCAGGAGTCGATTCACCTCTGCCTGGCAGGGGAGGAAGCGGTTGGAACCCTGGGAAATAGGGAATGCCGGACGTCAGAGAGGGAATTGTGATTTTGGGGGAGGGAAAAAAAAAAAGTTTCCTTCCTTCAAAAATAATTTGGTCCCAAGTCCCAGTCAAGGTGAAAAGGTCTGAGGCAGTCTGTTCCTCTCCTGGCCGGCCCTGCAGCCGGGCAGTCCCAGGGCCCTCTGCTTTCCCAGTAGGGCCTGTGACCACAACCCTTGCCATTGGTGTGACCCTCATGCCGACACCCACCCTCCTGCCTGGAGGAGCGGGCCCCGGGGCAGGGAGATCAGGCCTGAAACAGAGCTCTGCGGGCCTCCTTTAGAAAAGCTGGACTTTAATCACTCAAAGTCTTACAATGAAAATAGGGACCCAAAGGCTTGTCCTAAGTATCCACAGCTATACAAAAGACATACAAAACTCCTGGGCAGACGCTGATGGGAGGCGAGGCGAGGCCCACTGCCTCCTCTGGCATTGCCTGGGCAGTGTCGCCACCCTGCAGCATCGCCAGGTACCACCTTTGGTCCCTCAACCTTGCGGAACAGGGTGCACTAGCAGGGAAAAGCTCTCACACTCAGTCGGTAGAATTTAAGAAAAAATGAAAAAGGTAAAAGTCTAACAGGCACTAAAATTGGGAAGTTATAACGTTTTTGGTTAACTAGAACATTCAAAACTGTAATATTGGATCCAAAAAAGTATCTTAAATCACACAAAAAAAGTAACCCATATTAAAATATAAAAAATAAGCCCCAAACACCGGAGAAAAGACCTAAAACTTGAGTAAGCTGGGGGCTCCGCAGCACTGTGGGCAGCCGGGCACAGGCAGGGCCTCAGCCTGCCAGCATCAACCCCTGGCTGCTCTGCCAAGCCCTTGTCCCTCAGAGCCCTACGTAGCCAGGGCCAGCAGCAGAGGCAGGTGATCCTCAGGATACGTTGGTCATGGGCTTGTACTTCTTGAAGCGTGTCCACTGGCCTGTGGCGTAGTTCATCTCGAACACAGTGTCCACCAGCATGGTGGTGCTGCCCTGGCCATCGGCCTTGGGCAGGTCCTCTGTGTGCTCGCTCAGCTTGATCTGGATCACGTCCCCTTGCTCCTGGCACGGGTTCTCTGTGAAGGGCAGGGGCTGCTGGGCAGGGGCCTGGGGCTAAGGAGCCCATCCCCACCCAGTCAGGGGACCACCCAGGCCCAGCCCCATACACACCTCTGGAACCAGCCATGAAGCCCAGTATGAGGGCTTTCTCGGGCCGTGTGACCTTGTTGGCTGTCTTGAACATTTCCTGGGCGGCAAACATCTGCTCTCTCTGTGGGCAAGAGGAGGATTTGGGTGCCCAGGCCCCCCTGGGTCATCTCCCACCCCAGGTGCAGATGGGCAAGACTATACCAACTACCTGGCAGCCCACAGGCCCTGCCAGGACCCACCTACCGTGAGGGACAACTTCTTAGGCTGTTGCTGGGCAGGGGGCTGGGTCTGGGGGACCACCATTGCCACTGGGGGCGTCTGAGCGGCTGGGGCAACAGCTGGGGGTGTGGTGGGCGTCAGGGGTGATGTGGGTGCTGCAGGTGCAGGTGTAGGTGCAGCAGGGCTGAGGCTGCTGTTGTACATGGGTGCCCTCTGCTTAAACTGTGCCGGCAGTGTGGGGTTCGGGGTGCTGGGCTCCTCAGGTGGCCGGCTGGCCTGCAGACTGGTTTCCCGGGAAGATGGTGCTAGGGTAAAGTACGACCTGGTGAGGGAGGCTGGGGACTAGGCCCCCCACCTCCCCCTCCGCACCGGACCTGTGCCCAGTCCCCATTCTCCAAGCCACCTGCCCTAGACCCCACCCTCCATTTCCCAAGCCCTGACCAGCTGGCACCCCAAACCCACCTGCTCTGTCCTCCTCCTGCAGGATAAGCAGCCCTCCCTGGCATAAACCCTGCATGCCCCACCAAAAGGGGCAGAACCTGCAGTCCCAAGCACTTTCAGATCCTCACAAGTGGCCTGGGGTCATGAGGTGCTGGCAACAAGACACCGGCTGCCAGGCCTGAGGCCTTTCTGCATCGCAGCACAACCAAAGCCTAAGTCAGGTGAATGGTCCAGCTCCAGCTTCCCACAGATCTCCAGAAACTTGGGGGCTGAGGGTCTGTCCCCGGGCCCTCAGCCCCTCCTGCCCCTGGAGCACAGCCAGGGGACAGCAGACAGTGGCTACCTGTCTGCAGGGGGTTTATTTCTTGGCAAGGAGGGGCTCCCCCACCCCCAACCAGCAGAAGCTAAAGGACGACAGAATGTATGTCCTGATAATGAATAAACAGCACTGTGGGCCCCTGCAGCACCATGTGGGCAAGGCCACCTTCCAGGTGGAACGCTGGCTCCAGGTGGCAGGAGGAACCCTTACAGCCCCAGGAGCAGCACACTGCAGCCACTCACCCTGGGGAGCCTCGGAGCTGGGGACGTAGGAGGAGGCTGGGACCACACTGGGTGTGGAGGGCAGGTAACTTGTGGAGGGCAGTGCAGGTTCGCTGTTCAGAGACCCAAGTTTCTGGAAGACAGTGATGGTCCCTCAGCACAGGCCTGGGTTTCAGAGTAGCCCTCTCTGGCTTGGCCTGGACTTGCACTGTACATCACCCGACCTGCTTAACAGGTGTCACAAGCCTCAGGGCAGAGCTGCTCCAGGCTGGCCCAAACCTCAGCCCCGCCACCCTCCCTGGTTCCTGGAACCCCTTCGGCAGAGGAGGAGCTCCCACTTGGGAGGCCACGAACCACCATCTCTGGAGAGTAGCAACAACTGCCCGCAGTGCGTGGGCACTGTAGGGAAATGCGCCAGCCTCAGCTGACCCACAGCCTGGACAGCAGGAAAAGGCCCTCTTCCCAGGATGACCACACGCCAGCCTCCCCCGCCCTGCACCTCTTAGGTCACACCACTCCAGACTCAGGGTGATATGCCCCACTCACCCCTGGCAGGACCCTTACTGAGGCACAGCAGTGAGGACGTCCCCAGGCAGCAGTGTCTCCAGGAGTGTGTGGCAGGTGCTCATTCCAAACTTGAGCTGATGGCTAGATTAGGGTCCTAGCCCAGGCCACCCCTCGTGTGCGTGCGCACATACACACATACACACACGCGCGCACGTGTGCACACACACGCTCGGTCACTTTCTCCAACCTTCAGAACGAGAGCGCCCTGTGGGCTGTGTCTGGGTGGGGCAGCAGAGCCCTACCTGTGTGGACACCAGGCCGGCTGCGTAGTCAGGGGTGGCGTTCTCCACCACCGTCTCCTCCTTGGCCGGCTTTTCCACCACCTCTGTGTCTGTGGAGAAGCCAGAGGTGCTGTGAGGTGCTCTGAGGCCTCAGCTGGCTCAGAGGGGCAGGCGCACTGGTGCCGGAGGGGACAGCGAGAGCTGAGGGCAGGTCCGGGCCTCCCTCCCAGTCTCGGGGGAAGCCCGTACACACCCAGGGTCTTCCTTCTCCTCTTCGCCTCTCGGCCAGCACCGACCATGTCCAGCTCAGAAATGTCGAGGAGCTGCCAAGACAAACAGCTCCAGGCTCGCCCACGGCCTGTGGGAGGGGGCTGCCTGGGGCGCTGGGGAGTGGCAGCAGGCCTACCTTCACACCCCTCTCTTTCCGTAGTGGGGTCCTGGAAGGTGGGATGGGGGTCCGGTTTCCGGCAGGGCTGAAGACACTGGGCGTGGTGGGGCTTCTGAAGGGTGCCTGCTTCGGGATGCCTTTGAGTGGGGCTGGGGAGAAGACCGTGTCTGTCAGTGGCCAGCAGGGATGTCCACAGGAGCCCCGGCATTCTCTGCCCACAAGAGAAGGCTGGGCCAGAGCTGCCTCGGGAGGACCTCGGGGAGGACCTCGTCCCTGCCACTCTCCGTGTGTTCTGCCGAGGCTGTTCTTGCCAGTATCGCTGTGGGGAGCAGGTGTTCAGCTCAGACCCCACTGGCCCAGTGTCTTGTCGTGTGCTCCTGCTGTGAGCCCAGGAGGGCTGCAATGAGGGGAGAGGACAGCTGGCCAGGTCAGTTGGGACCCCAGTTCTGCAAAGCAAGGGCTGCCTGGGGACATTAAGCTACCCCAGAAAAACAGCAATGCCTCGACCTCTGCCAGGTCACCAACCCTCCTGTCTTCGAGGTGGAATGCTGTCCTCCGCTTCCTTCTTGTGCCCTTTAGTGAACAGGGCCACAGTCCACGAGAACCGAGTCCTCCCACACCTGACCAGACTCTGCACTGCTGAGCCCTGGCAGCTGTCCACCTTTCCTGTTTAGGGTGCCCACCAGGGCTTATTCCGGGCTTGGGGCTGAGAAGTGCCCACTGAGTTGTGCGGTCAGAACACTGGGTCAAGGGTGGATATGACTGATGGACAACCATGCTCTCCCACCCCAGCAAAACAGGTACAGCCCTGCTCTGGGGGGCTTTGCTAAGGAGACTGGAAGATGGGATTTGCTCAGCAGGGTGGAGCTGCAGCCATGAGAGGGCCAGGCCAGGCCAGGGCCACACTTCTGCAGGGAGGGGCCGCCCCTGCAGCGAGGGAGGCCAGCCGTCACCAAGGCTCCTGTGATCATGGACACGTGGTGGGACAAGATGCAGAGGGCAGCCGAGGCCCCTCCCTGCAGCTCCCTAGTGCGCAGCAGCCCTCCTGCCCTCCGGTCCTGCAGCCTCCACTGGAGGTGTGCCAGCCCCTGGAGCTCCAGGGGCAACCCTGGGTTCCTGTCACCAGTACTCCCTCTGTCACATCCACACCAATCTGTGTGAGTGGGCACACAGATCAGCCTGGGCACAGACGCAGGGCTCCAGCGCCAGCAGGGCTGCCCCATGCTATCGAGCACACCCATACCGCAGTCTGTGGCCCTGTCGTGCCACTACGGGGAACCTAGAGCAGGACAGTGCTGGCCAGCAGCAACACTGCACTGGACACCACCCCAGAGCATCTCAGGGACGAGGGAGTCTGCCCTCTCCTGTCCTGTGCTTCTGCAGGGCCAATGGCACAGTGACTTGTCCCAAAAGGAAGGTCATCGCATCTGGCAAGTAACAGAGCTGACGGGCGGGCGTCTGGCTTACTTGTGGTGTCCATCTTGCGGAGCAGCCCCCGGCCCTTGGCATGGAATGGCACCCCCGCACTCCTCTTCAGCTGCTGTGCTGTCTCGGTGGCTATGCAGAGAAGGTCACCCATCAGTCCTCACAACGACAGGGCCTCTTGCCCACCAAAAGCACACCTCAGAAAACACGAGCCGTGAGAAGGCCGCAGCCCAGTGCAAATACCACAGCCAGGCTTTCTGGCTAGAACTCCCAGGTGAGTGCCCACAGGCCAGGAGGGCCCCCAGAGCACACTCCCCTGGACTCTCCTCAGTGCCTAACAGGACAAAGAACAGGGACTTCCCTGGCTCAGCTAATAATGCTGTAGGGTGACAGGCAGAGTGCCTTGGCTGCCCCTGGCCAGACCCAAGTTCTGCCACTGACTCCTGGAGGTGGAACCTGAGGGACAAGCAGACCTCTAAGAGTTGCCCACTGGCCAGAGACTCTGCAAGCCCCCAGAACTGGGCTGGCCCTGGGATGCTGCCTCCTCCAAGCAAGCGTCACAGCAGGAGGCAGTGGAAGAACAGAGCATTTAGGTCTGTCACTAAATGTGGTAGTGAGGCCTCACTGGGATCTGTGGTCGTGTTTGTTTTTTGTACTGGGGATTGAATCCAGGGGTGCTCCTAATCCTCAGTCCTTTCTTAAATATGTATTTTGAGACAGGGTCTAAGTTGCTTAGGGCCTAAGTTGCTGAGGCTGGCCTCGGACCTGCGCTCCTCCTACCCCAGGTTCCTGAGAGCTGATGTAGGTGTGTGCCCAACACTGGCTGTGGTTTGGTTTTCCAGGTTGTTCTGCTCTTTTTCTGAGACAGCATCAGGCTATGTTGTTCGGGGGGCCTTCTGCCTCAGTCTCCCAGGTGTGTGGACTACCACACGGGGCCTATGCCTGGCGTGAAACCCATGCTTTGCTACTTAACTGGCGCCGTCACTCCTCACTGGACCCAGCAAGCACCTTCCACACAACTTCTACAAGGTGAGACAGCAGACATCTTCAAGGGAACCTGGGAGCACCGAAAGCTGAGGGACAGGCAGCCCACCTGCACTGCTATGTGCGGGAGGCCTGGGCACCCATCACAGATCAGACACCATGACCTGAAAATCCTCAAGTTTCTGACCCGTGCTTTCAGAAGTCTCTGAATAGACAGCTGGGCCCTCGCAGGCAGTGGGGCCTGAAAGCCAGGGCCCGCATACAGTGGCCGGGCCCATGGAAGCACTCACACTTCTGCAGCAGCTCCGCCCGCAGCGTGGCACTCTTGGGCTTCCGCTTTAATTGGAAATGCTTCACGGGTGGGGTGAGGGGCCCGGCGAGCGTGGTCAGGGCGTTCTTGTTCAGGTACTGGCACTCCAGCGGCAGCATGGCGGACGCCTCGCACTCGCCCACTGTGGAGAGCCCCAGCGGGTTAGAGGCCCTTTTCCAGGGCACTATGGCAGCCTCTGCTCTGCTTTCAATCCCCGCAGGGCCCAGGAGACTGGCTTCCCCTGGATCCAACTCCAACACCCAGCACTAAGGTCGTCAAAGTGGGCCAGGCCCCCCAACCAAGGCAGAACCTCAGGGCAACACTGCAGAAACAGAATCCCGTGGGAGAGAGGAAAGGGAATGCTGGCTGCTCTGCTGCAAACCTGGGGGCCCCTGGTCACACAGCCACACCTAGAGGGGCTGCACCCCTTGACCTTGGATTCTGGCCACACATGCCGTGCAGTAAGAGGAGCAGCTGTGTAGCTTCTCCAGAATCCCCAGGAGCCCCAGGTCAGTGGCCTCTTGGACACCGCTGAATCCCAGACTTACAAAACTGCCCACACTCATTGCCCGAGTCTACGTGGTCACTGAGGGGTCCAAACTCCAGGAAAAAACCCTTCATGGTAGGGGGACAGGAGTACCTGCTGCCCCCGTTGGTTACATAACCACCCTGAGAAAAGCATGGTCAGTTCCTGGAATTGGCTGCCCTAGGCTCTTCCAGCTCACAGGAGGACAGCTCCCTCCACCCGCTGAGCGCACCCCCGCAGGACGCATGTGCACCTGAGCGGCCCGTGCGCTCACAGGGTCTGTGTGGTGTGTGTGCAATTACAAGTCCAGTAGACACCTGAGGTGCCAGAAGCACCAGCACAGCTGGCTGCACAAGTGGCCCCTGCACAGCTGGCCTGGGCAGCATAACAGGCCACCTGTGTCCCCAGCCGCAGTGCTGCCTGCCGGCACAGTCTGCTTCTCAGGGGCTGCCAGTTCCCATTTTTCAGAGGAGGAAGAATTCCGAAGGGACAGATGCCCCCTTCACCCATGTTCCTTATAACCACCTGCAAACACTCTGCCTTTCTCCTTTTGGTACTGGGGATTGAACCCAAGGACGATCTATCACTGAGCTACACCCCCCCCCCCAAACCTTCTTATGTTTTATTCTGAGATAGGGTCTCTCTACGTTGTCCAGGCTGGCCTGGAATTTGGAACCCTTCGGCCTTAGCTCCCAAGTCACTGGGATCATAGGCATGCACCTCTGCATCTGGCTTCTGCAAAGACTTTCCAAATAGTTTTCAGTTCACATTCTAACAACAGAATGGTTGGCATATTTGTAAAAAGCACACTTTTAAACAGCCAAAACCCAGTGCAGAGACCTACAGGCTGTGGTCAGCTGCCAGAGGGACTGGCACAAGGCCAGGCAACAGCACGTGGGCATGAGGCACATGCAGGTAGTATTCTGGAAACACGTAGCACACAACTGCCTAACAATCCAGTTTCTTCCAGAAAACATTTCTCTCTTCCCAACAGAACACAAGGCCACACTTCATACCCTTTTCTCTAAGTTCTCCTAAAATATCTTGAACATTCGGGTTCTGCTCCTCAAGGTCAAGGTTAAGGGACCCTGTGTCAGGAAAGGACTTCAGAATGTCAGCAACCATGAGGACCCAGGGGTCGGAGTCCAAGGTGGCGAGCTGGATGATCTCCATCAAGGCTTCCTTCATCTGCAGAGGAGAGAAGACAGAGAAGCACAACCGGCTGAGCCCAGCACGCTGCGCACAGGGAGGTGTCTGCACCCCGCCCACTCCAAACTCCACTGTGGCCTCTGGGTGAGCACAGGGTAGCCCACCTAGACAGCAATCACCTCGCAGCCCATATGTCTTCCTGGGGCTCCCTTGCTCTAGTCCCCTACCCCAACCCAGGGCCACCCCTCTTCCCTGCACGGCCACAGCTTTTACTAGGTGGCAGTGGCCTAGCCTGCAGCGCCTCCCCACAGTCTCCCTGACAGCTCCTGGCAGCACCAATTCCCTGGGCCTGTCTCCCCTCTTAGGGCCACCTCCACTGCCACTTAGGAAGTCTGCACGGAGCATCTCAGGTACTGAGAGCTGAACCCAGGCCACCAACAGGTGCTGAGGAGGGTGGACAGCCACACCACTCCTTGGGCACAAGGAGGGCCTGGCCTGAACAACCGGCTGGCACCTGCTATCGCCGACCACAGCGCCACCCAGCTCGCCAAATAGTTTTCAGTTCACATTCTAACAACAGAATGGTTGTTAGAGGAGTGGACATGCAGACACAGGGAAAGATGGCCACATGGCTCAAGTAGCTGGTGCATATGTAGGCCAAAGACCTCCACAGCTGTCAGGAGAGAGAGGACGGCCTGTGGCCTACGGCAATGTGGCCGGCCACCCACTGCTGAACTGCTGTGGTCCTGAGCCACATTTTTACAGCAGCCTCAGGAAGCTTGTTGAGAGCCACAGCCGAAGGGGCCCCAGCAAACTTCCAGCTGCCAGCAAACTTCAGCAAACTTCCAGCTGCCGGCTGATGATTGGCTCACAGCGGCCCCAGCAACATCTAGCTGATTGGCTCCTCTGCGGTGATGCTCATTGGGCTGTTTCCCTGCCCTTTCAGACCATGGAGCTGCTCATTGGGGGACTTTTTTGGCTCCGCCCACGTGACCCAGCCAATCGGCCTCAAGAGCAGGAGGATGGTGGGAGGTGGAGAGAAGCTTGTGGGAGAGAGAGAGGCTTGTGGAAAGCCGGTGGTGGCAGTTGAGGCTCTGAGGGTTTTTCCTGAGAGGCTGTTTTGTTTGGCGTGTGTGGTTCTAAAAAGTTTCTTTTGACAAGTGGCTCCTGATTGTGCCCAGCCAGACTGTGGCATTTGGTGGCTCGCACGGGGAGCGACTGAGGGTAAGTGAAACTGCTCGCCCCTGAGGGCAGGGCGAAAAGATGGGTAGCCATTTTAAGATTCCTCTTTTATTTTGCTTCACTTTTGTTTTAAGTTGCCTGTCCCTGGAGATGAGTGAGACGGAAGAAAAACCGCTCACATCTGAGGAAAAACTATTTACGTCTGAGGAACAGATAGGGAGAAAGGACGGATGCACATGTCAGGAGGATAGAAAGGCTATAATGACTTTTTGTTGTTCCCTTTTTATTTCATTCTGTCTCGGTTTTGTTTGGCGTCATCTTGTTGGGTTGTATTATAGTAGAAATACGGGATCAGAAATTAGTAAAAAACAAACTGAAAGAGTGTTAAGTAAATTGTTAGAGGAAGGAGGCATCTCAGTAAAATCAAGAACAATCAGGGCATACGTTGATACAATACAAAAATGTAGCCCATGGCTTTTTAAGGAGGAGTTGTTAAATATATTCACTGATGGGTCAAATAATGGTACAGCAGCAGTAGTTACCCCTGATCAAACTTTTACATTTTTAGTAACCAAACAATCAGCTCAAAAGGTAGAGCTTAATGCAGTTTTACAAGCTTTTGTGATGTTTAAAGATTCTGTATTTAATTTACTTTCTGATAGTCAGTATGTAGTTAATGCTATAGTATCTCTTGAAGATGCTGGTAGGATTTCCCCTTCTTCTACTGTTTTCTCTTTGCTTTCCACTATACAAAGTCTAATCTGGGACAGAAAAGATCCATTCTTTATAGGACATATCAGGGCACATACAGGGTTGCCTGGAGCCCTTAGTTTGGGCAATGATTTAGCAGATAAAACTACACATGACATACATATTTTCTCTACACTAGAAGAAGCTATAAATTTTCATAAAAAGTTCCATGTCAATGCTAATACTTTACAAAAGCGTTTTAAAATAACTAAGGAACAAGCTAGACAAATAATAAAACAATGTCAAAATTGTGTGACCTTTTTACCAAAATACTCCTGTAGGAATATTTTTTGTTGGTAGTACAATAAATAATAAAGGCAAACTTATATCAATTCTATCCAAATGCATATTTTCCATATATGTTTCAATGATTTTTAATGCCTTTCTTGCTTCAGGCGTTAACATTCGGGGTGAATTTGGATCTGATGGACCTTTTAGGATATCAAATAAAGGTCCCAACTCTCCTGTTGGTATACCTAAATAAGGCCTTATCCAATTTATGTCTCCTAATAACTTTTGAAAGTCATTAAGTGATTTGAGTTGATCTACTCGTATTTGAATTTTTGGTGGACGGACCATGGTTGAGGATAATAGAACTCCTAAATAATTAATTGGAAAATTTAATTGTACTTTATCTGTTGCTATCTCTAGATTATAATTTTTTAATAAGTTTGTAAGTGTGGCATAACATTCTAGCAATGTGTTTTTATCTTTGTGTGCTAATAATACATCATCCATATAGTGAAATATTTGTAGTTCAGGATTTTGATTTCTAAGTGGCTGGATTACTTTGTTAACATAAATTTGACACATAGTTGGGCTGTTAGCCATCCCTTGAGGGAGTACTTTCCATTCATATCTCTGATCAGGACCTTCATGATTCAGTGCAGGGATAGTAAATGCAAAACGTGGACTATCCTCAGGATGAATTGGAATTGAAAAAAAACAATCTTTAATATCTATAACTAAAACATACCAGGTTTTTGGCAAAGCAGACAACTGAGGAATCCCTGATTGAGCAGGTCCCATAATAACCATCTCATTATTAATGGCTCTTAAATCTTGCAATAATCTCCATTTACCAGATTTCTTTTTGATGACAAAAATGGGAGTATTATGGGGAGATACAGAAGGTTGTATATGTCCTTCCACTAATTGTTGTTTGACCAGGTCATGGGCTGCTTGTATCTTTTCTTTAGTCAGGGGCCACTGAGGAACCCATACTGGTCTTTCTGATTTCCAAGTAATTTTTATTGTCTCAGTGGCCCTTTCTGAAAATCCAACCCATGTCTGTCTGTTCCTTGATCTATTTGTATTGGTGCTGCTATACCTTGTTCTTGTTTTTCTAATCTTTTTCCTTTCCTAAAACCTTGTCTAGTCATAATAGTGGGTGCATTTTGGTTGATGTTATTTGTTAATGTCAAACCTAATTGATCTAGGACATAAGCCAACATCTACCAAGAGAGAAAACTGGACAATGTTTTATAAAAATGGGGGGGTGGTGTGTGCAGAAAAAAGGAGATTAAAACCAAAAGGCCACTACTCCAGACTGAATTCCGCACCCTCCACACTCCTGGTAAAGTCTGCCTTACAAGATGGCCTGAGAACAGCAGTGTTCCCCCCATTCTGGAGCCAGAGCCCCACGCCCAGGCACCAGATGACTTAGGATCTGCCAAGGATCACTTCCTGGTTCGGTGGTCCCTTCCCACTGTGCCCTCATGTGGTGAGGGGTGAACACTCCCTCAGTCTATCTCCAAAGGGAAATCAATGAGGGCTCCACCCCAACACCCTGCCTTGGGGTAGGATGTGGAAGGCACGACCCGTGGACAACCGCAAATCTACCGCTGAGGGAACCTGGAAATGGGGCCTCTGTGGGGAGGCAGGTCAGAAGGGGGGCTCTGGCTTGTCTGCTGGGGTCTCTCTCCCACTTCCCACAAGGTGAGGGTGCCATCAGACCGAGCCACCTGCAAGCAGGCACCCAGAGCTTGGACTCCCAGCCTCCGGAAGTGAGAGAAATCTATGTCTGTTGATAGCCTCTGAGTCTGCGGCAGAGTTGGCTCTCCTTCCCCTCAGGCTCCACATCCACAGATTCAGCCGACCACCGATGGAAACATTCTTAAAAATAAAAGTTTGTACTACACATATATGGACTTTCTTCTTGTCGTTACTCCCTAATCAACAAGATCAGGGAGCCACCACATCCTGCGATGTGCTCGAAGTCTCCTAGAGACTTGGCACACACAGGAGGAGGGCAATCCTAGATGCAAGTACTGCTCCACTTCACAGAAGGGATTGGAGCTCCTGCCTACGCTCTCTGCAGGGGCTTGTGTCCTGTCCCAGCTACCAAGGGACAACTGCCTTGTCTGGCAGTGACACTAACACAGCCACCTTCAGAATGAACACCGCCATCAACAGACCCTGCCTCAGCCACGCTCTCCCTGTGCTTAACCACATCCGTGCGCTTCCTAAGTATGTGCACCCTACACCAGGGGCTCCAGGACTAGTGGTGAGGGGTGGACTGTGTCACGAATAGGAAGGATTTCTGGCCCTTGCCAGGAAGGCACTGTGGCGTGCTGCTGGAATGCTCCATGGGTGATGTGCAGGCAGGTACACACACACCGTAAGGAAAGTTCACACCAAATTTGTGGCTGGGGACCCTGAATTCAGGACACAGAGAAAAACAGACACCCAGACTAACAGCACAGAAAAGAGTGGAAGGGTAGACTGACATACCAGAGACCACCTACCAACAGAGCTCCAGGGGATGGAAGAAAAGAGCACATAGGAAGGACAAGTCACAGGGCCAAGGGCACAGCTCAGCGACACAGCAGGGAGGGAGGGGAGCACCCCGATCAGCAGAGCGCCTGGCAGCCCTCCCAGAGAGGTGCTTGCCCACCACAGGAGCAGACCACCCTCACCCCAGTGTCCACTGGAGACACGAGCAGAGGCGCAGCCAGCAGAGGGCCACCCAGCAATGAAGCCTCCTGGACTTGGCACACGCGACAAGAGAACTGAAGTGGGCCACAGACGGTTCCAGGAAGGGAGACCCATTTGGTAGTGTGCTGTTCAGAGAGGCCCTCTGAGAAGAGGCAATACCACAGCCTTGC